CTATACTACTTATCGCTATATTTATGTTATATATACCGTGGTCTGTTGACGAATAATTGATGATCGAGGCCAGTGCGCCATGAACTGTAGATGGGACGCTTCTTGTAAGAGATTCATTATACGAGCTGCGACCTGATTGCCCCACACTTGAGTACTTGATGAAGAAACAAGACACATGTGTTGTACAACATCAATCTAATGTTCACGCATGATAATGTAAACATGCTAAAATGTAACAGTTAAAAGTCGTCCTTAACCTCCTTCACCGATTCCTCTGCCCCTTTTTGGGTCCGGTATCTGAATGCATACAGTAAACAGCCAGTTTATAGTGATGGTGATCGATAATTCAGATTTCAGGCTTTCGAATATCCCTTTACCTGTCCCCCATCTCGATGTCGCCCTCCTCCCCGGCCAGCGTCCTGTTCATGACCTTCTTTAGGAGGTGGAGTTGCACGCAGTTGGCGATCAACCCAAGTAGGCTGATCGCGATGAGAACCCCAACTAGCTCTGCTGGCCACCCTGTGCTAGCCATACAGGCATTGCCAGTTGGGAGATCTCCGACATTCTCCGCAGCTCTGAGGATAAGAAAAATGAAGGTGAAACGAGGGCATCGACTCTTACTCTGACTCAGGAGCCATAGTTGTCGGACTTGTCGTTACCTCGGGGCTGACACTGGACCAGTCCAGGTCTGCGGCCGCAGGAGTATCACTCTCCGGCGGCTCGAGGGTGTAGCCTGACAAGTCGATGCCAACTGCGGCTGATGTGGTGCCTGGACCGTCAAGGACGATGCCGGACAGGTCCAGGCCACCAGATGCAGTTGGTATGGGAGTCGTTGCGGGCTCGAGAGTAATCTTGCTCCAATCAAGCTCGCTGGATGCGAGGGCAGCCATGATGAAGATACCTGCGACGATTTGCATAGCAAAGTGTAAGTATAACTACAAGAAGTGAGCAGTAATGATGACCTAAGTCATATGCCAGCCCATGCGACCGTCATCCTTGCTTCAACGACCAACAATGCATGTTTCGTGCAAGTCGTGGTCGATAAGTGCTGTCAAGGTTCCAAGGCGCACGATGCTTAATTTCCATGCCGATCGAGATGTCTCCATCGCTATCGAAGGAGAGTCGGACCCTTGGACGAGTAAGTAGTCCCGGAACTGTTCCGGCAGGTACAATAATCGTTACTACGTCTTATTTATCTCTTTGAGTGTAGTTCGGAATGGATGATTTCAATAACTGAGCAATGTGTATTGAGTCACAGTGGCTTACAAGGAGAATCCCTGAACACTTGTATCTGAACTCTGGTGATGGGGAGCGCCAAACCCCGTGCGAAGAAGGCTAGAGTGGTCAGCCTCTGGTCCACATTTCGGGTTCCACAGTGCTTCAGTAACGCTCCTTTTTACTGTTTGTATGGTACGGAGTTCAAGTTGTATTAAAGCTACGACGGCACCCTCAAGTTGAGGGCCTCAACGAACACAGAGGGGGATCTGTGGCGCGAGGGAACGTCCAAGCTTCGGATCTCGCAATCATTGCGAGACTTGCATTATGCTTGGCATTGCATTGCATATACTTGGATGCTGCCTTGGACCGAATGGAAACGATGAGCAAGCATTTAGCTTCGCTGTTCAATGCTACTCCGCTCGGATTGATTGATACCTTTGGACCCGCTCCCAAGTTCCCAGTATGAGATATTCTCAGTTCCGAGTGATTACCTCTTCAAGTATGTGGCCTACTACGGTACACATGGTGCCCAGTCCTGCACGTGAACCAGTATGAATGAAGTTCAATTCTGCCATGCGACTCTATTTCAAAATGATTCAGAGTTGCAATCAAATGCTCCCGTCGACCATGATGCTCAAAATATCACTGGTAAAGTCTCATTGCCGACTCTCCGGTGCCGAGAAGGTAAAGTGAAGGAATTTCCAAAATGGTGAGGAGGCACAAGTTGGCGCTGTTGCTGTGGGAACGGGAACGGGAAGATTCCGCGCGGGTGAGCTAACGCATCATTCCGTAGCCGAGCTATTTTGCTCCGTTGAAGGTTCCCTTGAACGGTGGAAGAGTAGTACTCTATATTACT